TATGTTCACTAGTTTTACTTTTTAGATTCCACATATAAGCGACACCTTGCAGTATTTGTCTTTCTCTGTCTGACAATTCACTTAATGCTCTCCAAGTACGTCTATGTTGCTGCAAATGGCAAATTTTTTTTTTTAATGACTGAACACATAGTGTTAGTATTCCATTCTTGTTGTTACTCAACTCTTTGCCACCCCATGGGTGCAGCACACCAGGCTTCTCTGTCCTTCACTATCTCCTGGAGTTTGCTCAGATTCATGTCTATTGAGTCGGTGATGCTGTCTACTACATCATTCCATTCTACTTATATACATATGTTCTTTATCCATTCATCTGTTGATGGAATCAAACTCTCAAATGCTGGACCCAGATTTTGACTCTTCTGTTTGATGTATTTGCCTGTTTCTATGGAAAGGAAATAAAATTCTTTATGTTCAAACTGAAACTCACAATCATCCCTTTTGAATCAAGTCCTCTTCCAGTTTTCCCAGGTTTCATTACATGTAGTGATGTGCTCTTGGTCACCTGCAGACTGGACGTGCAGGTGTCCTTGACTCCTTCCTTCTTCCTGCTGTAACTAGCTGCTGACTGATGCTTAGTCCTCTTATTGTGATTATTACCATTCCTCCATATTATTTCTTTCCCCTTCCTGATGTCATTGTTCTAGGTCAGGCTCCCATTGGCCACTCTGTTCTGCTATCCCCTATAAAGCACCCCACATGCCAGGTTAAGCCGGATAGAGCCTCCCTCACCCTGCCATCCCTCTCTTCCAAAACTCTTTCTGGGTCACACATGCTCACCTCCTGTTAGCATCTATAGCCTCAGCCATCTTCCAGCTCTAGCTTCAATTATTGTGCTGTTCCTGTCCTCCAGCCACATAACTTGCATTTTCAAATTGTTCCTTTTCCTTAGGCTTTTTACTTTTTTATTTTTATTTTTTTACAAAATCCTAGTTATATTTCGAGTCAGTTCAAATGATGCCTCCTTCCTCCTTCAAGTCTTCCCTGAACACTCCACTGTCTTGATTTCTCCTTCTTTTAGCATCTTGTTCTTTTCTATCTTATTATGTCACCAAACACAAATATATATATATATAGTTATATATGTATCAGATCTTGTTATGTCCACTATATCTTCTTCATCAAGGCCAAGGAACACAATTTCTTCATCTATAACACTTGAAGTCCCTGCTATATACTAGGAGCTAGAAATACTATTGGCTAAGATGATATTAAATTATTAATCTATTTAAAAAACAATAATCTATAAATGGAAACAACCAATTAATTTAGTATTGATCTAATCAAATACTAATAAAATAAGGTAAATAGTCTTACCTTAAAATAAGGCATTTTACCTTAAACTAAGGTAAATAATCCAAAAGTAATAATATATTGGTTTTGGTATCCTGTTATTCTCCTTTGCATGTAGCTGAGGGATGATTTTCTGAAGAATTTTAATTTTATGTTTTTACAATATTGGGTTAGTAAACTCCTGTCTGCATACATTTTAGCCTTTGAATCCTTCAGTGTAATTAGACCAAATTAGCCATATGAGGTGAGGGCTTCCTTTAGGTGATGCATTTTATGTGTCAGGAAAATTGTGATCTAACAGGGTTAGCCTTTGCCACTTTAGTGCCACAGGGAACTAGTTTCCAGAAAGATTGTTTGGGGGACTTCCCTGGAGGTCCAGTGGTTGAGACTCTGTGATTCCACTGCAGGAGGCTTAGGTTTGATTCCTGGTCAGGAAACTAAGATCTCACGTGCTGCATGGTGTGGCCAAATAAAATAAAATAAAATACCTGGGGACACTTGGCGCTTCCCCCATGATGACCTGACAGTGATGACAGTGAGTATGCTTTGAGAGGTTGATGTTTGTAAACATTCCTGTACAGGTAGGTGCAGAGATGTTAGTACAAGTTTCTTCTGAAATAATGAGACAAACCCCAACTAGAAAAGGACAGTAGTAGAGCAAGAGTTTGAATATTTTCTCAAATTTTGAAGGCTTCAGCTGCATGTCTTTCTGGGAAACTAGAAGCTGGAGGAAAGCTATTCTAACATATGTGACATCCATTCTTGATCTGTGTGGCCACTTTATTCCCTTTAAGTTCTAGATCTTTCAGTGAAGAAGCTGCCAACTTCTGGTAGCTGTTCATCAACTCACTTGGAAATCGCAGCACTTATGTAGTTATATATGGTTATATCCATTCAGTGGAAAACAACAGATCTTTAGAAAGGAATGACATAACTACATATGCTAAAATATCAAAGAGGACACAAACAGATGGAGAAACATACTGTGTTCATGGATTGGAAGAATCAATATTGTCAAAATGGCTATTCTACCCAAAGCAATCTATAGATTCAATGCAATCCCTATCAAGCTACCAACAGTATTTTTCACAGAACTAGAACAAATAATTTCACAATTTGTATGGAAATACAAAAAACCTCAAATAGCCAAAGTAATCTTGAGAAAGAAGAATGGAACTGGAGGAATTAACCTGCCTGACTTCAGGCTCTACTACAAAGCCACAGTCATCAAGACAGTATGGTACTGGCACAAAGACAGAAATATAGATCAATGGAACAGAATAGAAAGCCCAGAGATAAATCCATGAACCTATGGACACATTATCTTCGACAAAGGAGGCAAGGATATACAATGGAAAAAAGACAACCTCTTTAACAAGTGGTGCTGGGAAAACTGGTCAACCACCTGTAAAAGAATGAAACTAGAACACTTTCTAACACCATACACAAAAATAAACTCAAAATGGATTAAAGATCTAAATGTAAGACCAGAAACTATAAAACTCCTAGAGGAGAACATAGGCAAAACACTCTCCTACATAAATCACAGCAGGATCCTCTATGACCCACTTCCCAGAATATTGGAAATAAAAGCAAAAATAAACAAGTGGGACCTAATTAAACTTAAAAGCTTTTGCACAACAAAGGAAACTATAAGCAAGGTGAAAAGACAGCCCTCAGATTGAGAGAAAACAATAGCAAACGAAGCAACAAAGGACTAATCTCAAAAATATACAAGCAACTCCTGCAGCTCAATTGCAGAAAAATAAATGACCCAATCAAAAAATGGACCAAAGAACTAAACAGACATTTCTCCAAAGAAGACATACAGATGGCTAACAAACACATGAAAAGATGCTCAACATCACTCATTATCAGAGAAATGCAAATCAAAACCACAATGAGGTACCATTACATGCCAGTCAGGATGGCTGCTATCCAAAAGTCTACAAGCAATAAATGCTGGAGAGGGTGTGGAGAAAAGGGAACCCTCTTACACTGTTGCTGGGAATGCAAACTAGTACTGCCGCTATGGAGAACAGTGTGGAGATTCCTTAAAAAACTGGAAATAGAACTGCCATATGACCCAGCAATCCCACTTCTGGGCATACACACTGAGGAAACCAGATCTGAAAGAGACACATGCACTCCAATGTTCATCACAGCACTGTTTATAATAGCCAGGACATGGAAGCAACCTAGATGCCCATCAGCAGACGAATGGATAAGGAAGCTGTGGTACATATACACCATGGAATATTACTCAGCCATTAAAAAGAATTCATTTGAATCAGTTCTAATGAGATGGATGAAACTGGAGCTATTATACAGTGAAGTAAGCCAGAAAGATAAAGAACATTACAGCATACTAACACATATATATGGAATTTAGAAAGATGGTAAAAATAACCCTATATGCAAAACAGAAAAAGAGACACAGATGTACAGAACAGACTTTTGGACTCTGTGGGAGAAGGCGAGGGTGGGATGTTTTGAGAGAACAGCATCGAAACATGTATATTATCTATAGTGAAACAGATCACCAGCCCAGGTTGGATGCACGAGACAAGTGCTCTGGCCTGGTGCGCTGGGAAGACTCAGAGGGATTGGGTAGAGAGAGAGGTGGGAGGGGGGATTGGGATGGGGAATACATGTAAATCCATGGCTGATTCATGTCAATGTATGACAGGACCCATTACTATATTGTAAAGTAATTGGCCTCCAACTGATAAAGATAAATGAAAAAAAAAAATGCAACTACCCCCAACATGTAAGCAGAAAGCCCAAAGTGAAATGTACAGGACACTAAAACTTGATTTTTTAAATTAAAAACACTGTACATCCATATAGTTTTACATACATGTAGGCTGGTTCTAGAAAATTACTCAGTCAACTGATAACTAGTACCTGAAAAAGGGACTAATAGTCTGAAGTGGAATATGGAGCAGTTATTCCAGGGAGCTCTGGGGGTCCCTGCAAGTTTGTGAGACCATTTTAGGGGATCCACGAGATCAAAACTATTCTCAAAATAACATTAGGATTTGCTTTTTTTTCACTCTCATTCTCCCACAGGTGTATGGTGGAGCTTTCCAGAGGTTAAACAACTTGCGTTATTATTGTAACAAACTGAATCTAGAAGCAGATAAGAGGATCTATTTGATTAAGTTAGATATCAAAGAGATTTTAAAAATGTTAAAGTGTCAGTCTTCTCACTAAGTATATTTTTGAAATTTTTTTGAAATCTCACTAAAATTTTTCTGAAAAATTTTTATAAAAAATTATTATATGTATTAACATACAATTATATTTTAATGAAATAAGTATAAATTTAAAATTCACAGTTTTTAATTTCTAAATTGATAAATATCAATTGTGTAACCCCTATAAACAAAATGTCTGAGGATCTGTCAAATTCCTTCAGAGCCTGGGGCCGCTGGGAGGTTTCTGTTTAATAGTGGTGGACAGACATGTCAAGCAGGAAAGAAAATGTGAATGAAGAAAAAGTTTGTAACAAAGCATTGCTTCCCCTTTTCTCCCCCTTCCTAAAAGGAGATCCACAACTGGTCGGGGGTTCAATGCTCTAGAAAGTTCCAAGGCTGTGACTTGATGCAAAGAAGCTGCAATAATTGAAGAGAAGCGGAGGCCAGCCCTTCCTGAGGATCCTGTCCCTCAGAGAATGCTCTGCGCCCATGGATGTAAGTAGGGCTGGTCACTGATGCTGTGTAACCACAGGAGACTGGGGGTGACTGTGGCCCCCCCCGAGCCCCTCACTTACCCTGGTCGGTGTCATGGAGACGGGCGAACCTTGGGTTCTGTTCTTGTTGTTCGGTTGCTAAGTTGTGTCTGACTCTTTTGTGACTCCATGGACTGTAGCCCACTGGACACCTCTGTTCATGGGGTTTTCCAGGCAAGAATACTGGAGTGGGTTGCCATTTCCTTCTCCAGGAGATCTTTGGACCAGGGATTGAACCCACACTTCCTACACTGGCAGGTGAATTCTTTGCCACTGAGCCACCTGGGAAGCCCTGTATCCTAGAAACTGGTGTTGAATGTCCATTTCCTCTTTGCACTTCAAGGATCCAGTTGTGGCCAACCCAGAGTAAATGTTCATCCTAGGGCATCCTGGACCCCCAGCTCTGAGTGACCCAGGATTTCTAGGTCTCCCCTGTTTTTACAGGACCCACCAGAATCTCTGGGTTTCCTGGATCAGTCTAGGTCTCTTCTAATAGTACAATTCCATTTAGAAAAAAATTAAATCAATTTCCTGCTTCCAGCAATAATTTGAGGTGGTTCAGGGAAAAAAAAAAAAAAACTTAATAGAACTATTAAAACCAGGATAAGAGAACCAGAGCCCTACAATAAGGTCTGGGAAAGTTAAAAGTACAAGAAAACCTAGCCATGGATGCTAATTGCAGATAAGTGAGCCACTTAGCTCCTGGTCTCAAGGTAAAAAAAGAAGCATGATATACTGCAAAGCGTCATGAGGAGACCAAAAGCACTTGCACAGGTCCAGGTGGTCAGCTGTAGGTGAATTTTGGTCTGAAGGAGGCTTCTCAGGTCATCTGTTAGCAGACTTAAATCCTACCAACTAAACTAGGTGTGTAGTAATTTCATGCACCTGAGACCCTCTCAGTCCATAGGTCACCAAAGGCAGAGAACATCTCCTTCATGCCTGTATCCCTAGCATCCAGTGTGGCTTCTGGCACGTGGAAGATGCTCACTGAGGACCCAGTGCCTTGACTTAGGCTTACATCTAACTCGCATCTTCTATGACACTTGTTGAATGAATGCACCATTGAGTAAATAGTGTGGAGAATCCTTGGGATAAAGGATGAAGGGCAGGAGGGTAAAGTACTGTTTCCTCACATTCCCCAGGAGATTTCTTCTCACTAACAATGCTCCTGGGATTACACATTCCTTCCTGTTTATTGTCTAGGAAACTGCCCACCTTCCCCCATTATTCCTTAGCCTACTTGTGGTGACAAAATAACTTGGGCCCCTTTCTTCCCATAGATTGCCCTGAAACCAATTCCCTTCCATCCTTCATTCCTTCCATTCCTCCTTCCAATAGATTCTTCATACTGGAGAGCTAAGTGGTCTTTAACTTGAGCCTTCATGGTGTACATTTCAGAATGAATAATCCATAGCTGCATTTAACCACTAACCAGAGGTGATTGCAGAGTTTCTGTGTTCCATTTGACTCCTCAAACATTATTTATCTGTGATTCATTCCATTTTACCTCTCAGAAGGGTAAAAGTACTCATCATTGTGGTCTTTTCTTCCCCTGCCACCCAATCTTAATGACTATTTATAGAAATTATTATTTCAATGTCCAAGATGTGCTATAAATAGCTTTGGCTTGAGCACCTTGCCTGTGTGCCGCCCCACTCTCCCCATCATAGTATTGTGCCGAGAATTATCTCAAGGACTTTGGATCCATTCAACCCTGCTGGTCTCTTCTGGTGACCAGTGCAGACTTCCTCCTTTTCTCAAAATGATGAGACTAAGTATTTCAACCTGTTTAAAGACTCAATAAGTTTCAGCTTCCTGTGTCTCTTACTAGTAGGAAGAACAAGTATTTAGCATCTAAACTGGAACACTTGTAGAGGGAAAAAGAGCGTTATTAATAGAAACTCTGGATGTTTGCTCACCGACTCTTCAAAGATCTTGCATCTCTAATGAAGGCTGAGCGCAGAAGATCAACAAGTGCCTTTGGAGATAGATTCCCTGAATTCTGTTCAGTTGTCTGTATTGGGCCAAGGGGATCTGGTATAGACTTCTCAGCGCTGAGTGCCTCTAATAAGCCAGTGGAGAGCCTGTCCTCTTCTGGATGGCAGAGCTCCCGCGGGAGACAGGCAGGACTCCCACAGACCTGGGGGCCCCTGTTTGTGAGACCCAGGGGTGCTGGGCTGCCCTCCCCTCCTTCGCCGCCCCTCCACCACCGCCCCTGCACCCTTCTCCTTTTCTCGTGTTTTGATCCCCATTCTCTTGCTCTGCCTCCCCGCTCCTCCCCTGTGCCTTCTCCCTGCGGTCCTGCCTCCTCTCCCTTTGTCTCCCTCTCTTTGGCTATTTTCTGCTCCCATTTGTCACTCGCACTTTCTCCCTTTCCCTCTCTCCCAAAATGGTCCTTTCAACACTGTTGGAGGGCAGCTTGGAAGAGCACTGCTGCCAAAGTTACTTTCTCCTTTAAAGGAAAAGCTTGTATTTCCAACTGTAGCTTGACTCTCCTTCACGAGCTGCAGGCCGTCCTTTTCTCATTGCGAGTGGTCTCTTTCTCATGAACATCTCTGATGGGAAGTCCTGGTTTCATGTGTCCTGGGGGACACGGGTGCTGAGGCATGAAGACGGCATGGGGGGTGTTGGAGGTGCGGGGTGGGTGGAAGTTGGGGCCGTGACAGGAGCAAACCCTGGAGATGCCTGCTTAGTCACAGAATGGGTTACGGTTGGGATAAATGACACTCTTTAATTGTGTTGCTGCAATAAACCTGAGGGTCGGAGATTTGGGAACTGGACTGTGCCTGGATCATTTTAGAGAAGGCAAGATCTTGGTCAGCATCTAATCAGGGAGCCACAACTATGGAGGGTGTGTGACTGCGTGACAGCGGGGAGCCCGATAGACATGGAGGAGGCTAGCCCTGTACAGAGATGGGGGTGGGGTGGGGTGAGATGCGCTGGAGGTGGGCAAGTTGACTCAGACATTTCCCGATGAACCAGGCTCCAAAAACATTCTGAAAAGCAGAACCTGAGAGCAGACTGCAGTGATCTGAAAAAGAACTGGTGGGCTAGACAACATGCCCCCCCCTTTTTTTTTCTCATGGGATCCAAGTACTTTGCATAGTATTTTTACTTGATAAAATAATAACACTGTTTACTGAGCCACTGTGATATGTAAGCGACTCTGGAAGAGACTTGGAATGATTCAAGTATAAATGAGAAATAACCCAGCCTAAGCTGCTCATGGCTAACAACAGAGAGAAGTAACGCAGAAGAGAATTCACTGCAAGCAGGTGAGGATGTGTTAAGAGAGTGATGAAAGGTTGAAGGAAGGAGAGCAGCAATTATGGCTGGGCGGGTCAGAGGATAAATGCCTTGACTCTGGAGGGGGTGGAGCTTGGAGGCCAGGCAGACATTCGATACACAGAGAAAGGTGTGGGTCACTCATTATTGATGGAGCAGACCTAGACAACAAGGGTGCAGAATGACCAGGAAACAGGGATGGAACTGAGCATGCAGGTGGAGGGGAAGGAGGAAATAGCCATCACCCAGGAGCAGAGGGTTGGGGAGGAGGAGTGGTGAAAGATAGAGTTGCAAAGGAGGGAGGTGCCAGCCTGCTCACTGGCTGGGTTGAGACATCTGGATACCATCCTTGAGATCCAGCATCTGTGTGGAACATGCTCCAGGCAGGATGGATGGCTTTGCTTTGGGAGATGCTCATTTCCGATGCCCCTCTTGCTCAGTGTGGTTGCATTTCTGAACCAGATTTTCTTTTATTTTTCTGATAGTTGCTCAGTCGTGTCCAGCTCTTTGCGAGTCCTCCTTGGAATTCTCCAGGCTAGAATACCAGAATGGTTAGCCATTCCCTTCTCCAGGGGTTCTTCTCAACCCAGGGATCAAACCCAGGTCTCCCGCATTGCAGGAGGATTCTTTACCAGCTAAGCCATGAGGGAAGCCAGAGAATACTGGAGTGGGTAGCCTATCCCTTCTCCAGCGGATCTTCCTGACCTAGGAATTGAACCGGGGTCTCCTGTATTGCAGGCAGATTCTTTACCAACTGAGCTATGAGGGAAGTGAAGCAGATTTAAGGTGTCATAACAATAAGCCTTCAGGGGGAAATATATATGCATGAAACACTCTGAGTTAGTGTTTTCTAAGATCTCAACTTCTCGTTTTGGCTTTAGTCTTTGTAGCTTTTAAGAGTAGATTTAAGGGTCAGTCACAAACTGTTTTGCCCTCAGAGTTGATCAAGGGCTGCTATACAGAATCTTATTTCCATTGTTTCCATACTCTATAATTTTCTCATATTACATCAACTCTTTTATTCTGCTATTGTGGGCTGAAGGAATCATATTATGTTTTTGGCTGGAACCGTTCACTGAATTTCCTCTTGACCCCGAGCTTACTCAAAATTCCTGCTTCCTGGATTACAGAGCCCCGCATTCTTCACTTTATGATGGATAAGAAGGATTGGGGTCTTCCTGCTAGACATTCACAGCATTTGTCAGGGTTTTTCACTGATGTCTCATTGTCTTACAAAAGACTTTCACACTGTCTCTTGTATTGATTACTTTTTTAATGTGTATAAGGTTCCACTTGCATGCCCCCTCACCATTCCCATTCCAAAAGATTGTGAGACCCTCTTAGTCATGGTCTGAGTATCTGTCAGTTATTTTGGCTTTGGCATAATATTTAGCATAGTATTATCCATGTATTATTTTGTTTGGAGGTAGAGAAACTGAGTGGATATCGGTGGGCTTGATGAAAGTGAAAGAGAGTAAAAAAGTTGGCTTAAAACTCAACATTCAGAAAACTAAGACCATGGCATCTGGTCCCATCACTTCATGACAAATAGATGGGGAAACAATGGAAATAGTGAGAGACCTTATTTTTTGGGGCTCCAAAATCACTGCAGATGTTGACTGCAGCCATGAAATTAAGACACTTGCTCCTCGGAAGAAAAGCTATGACCAACATAGA